CACACACAGAGAGCACTGGCACACGCATACAGTGAGCGCTAATGGGCAGTGGACAGTGAGCAACACTCGCGTGTAATCAGCTTACGTAAATGTGCGTGGATGCGGTCAAATGTAGTTGAGGATTTACGCAAAAAGGATTTCCATGCTATAAGCCAGCAAGCAGGCAGTCCAGCTGGCGGGCAGCAGGGCTGTGGAGCAGGAATGGACTTGGCAGCTGACAGGACGACGCCAAATGTTAAGTCCCTCTGCTGCTAAGTAACTTCAAGTCAAGTGACGAAACCTGAAAAAGCGGAGGGCGTGGCAGCCGCTGCACTTCCAGCTGCTTACACCCAGCGACGCCTGCAGACACCTCAAGAGGGAAAATCGCACCCAACGAATCATCCTTCGCAAGCCAATCGATGGTCTCTTCAGTTCGTTTTTTTTCTATTAGCAGCTTTTAAGTGGGCAGCAACGAGTCCTTGCAACAACAACAAGCCAATGGCTGAAGCAGTCGCCTGTTGTAATCAAGGCAAAGCTCTCTGCAGCTTTGTTCATTTGCAAGGTCTGAGCAAGTTCTCTCTCTAGAACTTAGCGTCGGCAATCAGAAAGACAGCTAAGCCAAGGCCTGCAAAGACAAATATCTAGACGTAACGAGTCATATTTCTTAAGAGAATAGAGCCTAGAAATTCTTAGAGAAATATGCCAACTTGGACTTAGGCTTAGGAGATACTGAGCTGCATAGCAATCAAGGCTAAAGTTAAACATCCTTTTAGATATAGATCTTATAAAGGGACAGATTTGAAGAGCTGAACTTGGACTGTTTAGGCTTGAACTGTTGAGCTGTTCGAGCATTGCTCGTGTCACGAGCCAACGACGCTCTGGCGAACTATTTGCCAAATGTCTTTGATGCGGCAATGAAACATCAAAAAGATGCAAAGTCAACATCACAGGGACGCACACACACACACACATACACATTGTATGGCTGTGTGCTGGCCACATTATTAACTAGTCGACAATTTGCTGCTGAATGAACTTGGCTAGGGCGCTTGCCGAGCAGGCGTGACACAAGGCGCTCTGGGATTAGGCGGCAGACGCAGTGGCTGGGGCTACTTCGAGAGGGCGAACTTTTGCATATTTGTTAAATACTTTAATTAATAATTTAGAAAGATAGCTAAAGACCAGCAGCCGAGCCGAACATGAGACGGGCTCTGGGAAGCGCTCTGTCGCTGACAAACAAACAGCAGCCAGAAGTTGAGCAAACAACTAACAAAAGATCAAGGATTATGCGTGCCAGCACAGATAGATAGAGCATATGCCTCAGTGTGTGTGTGTGTGTGTGTGTGTGTGTGTGCAGGATGTGCGGCACGCTGATGTGGTCGCTGCTCTGCTCGAGGACAGGTCGCCGCTCTGCACTCGACTCGTTGCGCTCGGCTTTTGTGCTCAGCAGAAAGAAAAAAACAGAAAGAAAAACAAAGAAGATTAGACTAAAACCAAGAAGCAGACGGAGGGCAGGCGGAGAGCAGGCAGAGCTCTAGGCCGGCAGGTTGTGGGTTTGTGGACTGCGTGAAATGCTCATAAGGCAACTTGATGAGTTTAATTATTTGAATGCTTCAGCTCACACACACACACACACACACACACGCACAGTCAAAAACACACACACGCATTCATTGGGCGCCAAGGGCGCGCTAGTCAAACAAAAGGCAGCTGCTTTTGTCACATGCAGTTCAGCAAGACCTCCACGCGCAGTCGCCACGCCACCCCCGCACAAAGGCCAAAAGCATACATAGGCCTTGCGGTGGGGCGGGGCCAGTGGGGTTAGACGCTCACATGCCTATGTGCGTGCCAAGAAACAACGAGGCATAGGCATGTCCTTGCACTCGCCCCTGCTCGCGCCATGCAGGCGACGCTCTATGTGTGTGTCTAAATACACATGTATGTAAATATATATATATATATATATATGTGTGTGTGTGTGTGTGTGTGTACTTAACAATTCACAATCTTTTTTGCTATCCGCAGCATTATCTTTGTGTCAGACTATGCTCGGAATGGTGCGGAATGTTTTTGAGCCAAGCTCACAATTTGCTTCAAATTTCAGAGGCGTTAAAGACGACTGGAGGCGGAGGAGGCGTGGTGGTTGAGGTGGAGAGTGGTGAGCATGGCAGTGTCCTGGTCACCAGCAAATGCTCAAGGCACAAATGCCATTTAAGAAATGCGCGCATGCTGGGCAAATGCATTCGAGGCTCTTAACCAACTTAAGCACAAAAATACTTCAAAAATGGCATTCGTCAGGCGGACCGAACGGAATTTCATTTTAAGGAAGCCTTAAATGGAGATATTGGCACAGAGAGCAGCTAAGCCATTAAACAGAAAATGTATCGAAATGAAGAGCTGATGTATCTATGCTAAGCGATTGACTGATTGAGCGATGTAGTTACTGCCTGATTAGCTTGGAAATTGATTGAGCCAGGGCCCGATTGACTAGCTGATGGAATTTTTAAGTGCTTGATTGACTGACTTATTGCACGATTCGTAGCCTGATTGATGACTTATAAATTGACTGATTGGCTCAGTGAATGATTGGCTGCTTGACTAACGGATGGACCTTCTAAATGATTGATTGACTGACTAATCACACGATGGGCAGTCAGATGCTTGAGTGATTGACCAGAGAATGCCTGCTTGACTGACTGAAGCACATTGTATGTGATTGATTGACTAACTTATGAAATGATTGATGATGATTGACAGCCTGATTAATTGAAAAATTGATTGACTGAGTATATGATTGTACAACTGACAGATTGATTTAGTAACTGATTGATTGATTGACTAATAATTGTAAACAATATTAGCCAGCTTGATGAGTGACTGACTGATTGACTGATTGGCTTACTCAATAATTTACTGTTTGACTGACCCATTTTGTTGATGGGCTGACTAAATGATTGAAAGCCTGACTGATTCCTCAATTGGCCAAATGATTCGATGATTCGATTTGATAATATTACACCTCAGCAAATCTGTGAGTTCAAACATCAGAGATGCCGGAGCTCAACAATTGTCAAATCAATTTCAAGTGTTGTGAACGACACTTCAATTTATTTTATACTTTACTCTATATCTCTTTTAACATTGAAGACGCACTTGAGGCTTCTCTTCTTCTCGCTTGTGTGACTTAACAGCAGGCCACTGAAATATGAAATAACATGAAATCGATGTCAAGCGGCGACTGCAAAATGCAAAAGCATCTTGTCAAATTGGCCACAGAACTGACCTCTTGCTTGTCACACACACTCACGCACACACGCACACACACGAGTCGAATTACAATGGAATGCGCTTGCGGTGCGACTGATGAAATGCGATGTTGACTACAAATGGGAATGAAGCCGGAGCCGGAGTTGGAGCTGCAGCTGGAGCCAAAGTCGATGTGTCTACATCGTAGCGCCAGCAGGTGGCCTTGGGGGCGTCGTATTAGGGGTGGGGCGAGGGTAGTTGCGGGTACGTGGAGCGCTGGCGAACTTCACTTAATGTCAACTTAATTGCATTGTTTCAGCCACAAATTACAAAACGAGTTTTGCACTAGGTAACAAAACGTCGTCAGCCCCATGGCCTTGCCTCCTGCTGCTGCTGCTGCTGCTGCAGCTGCTGTTGTTGATTCTAGGTGCTGGGTCTGGGTGCTGGCACCTGGCAACTGGCTTCTGGCCCCTAGCTAAAACTACACTGAGAGAATTAGGCACACAGTTGCTAATGCATTCGCTTTGAACTCGCGTGAGTTGCTGCTCAGGAGTTCATCGAATTGACAATTTCTGAGGCTGCGCTGCGGCTCTATAACTGACAACTGCAAATGTGTTACCTGAGTCTTGCCATCCTCATCTAAAACTTTAACTTTCTAACTGTAGCAAGGACTAGATTTTTGCTTAGATTGGAACTCTACAACGTCCACTTAGCCAATCACTCAGCTGTGTCTCTAAAACTGTGACCAACTGCTTAAGGCACTCAGAATTCAAAGCTGCCAATGAAATCTTAACAAACTGAAGATTTCTTTCAGTGTGCTGCTGCATGGCACAACAATAACAGCTTAATGTTTGAGTGTGTGTGTGTGTGTGTGTGAAAGAGTGTGCCCGTAAAAAGAATCAATTAAGTTCACTGACTCGCACACTCAGCGAGAGATCTCTCCCAGGGTGTGTGTGTGTGTGTGTGTGTGTGTGTGTGTGTGTGTGTGTCGCCATTGTCAAGTGGTAGCCAAACAGGGATTCATTTGAATTGAGTGGTGCCAGCAATGGACTGCGGCCGTCCGGCGTGAGTGAATGGGAGAGAAGGCGACGTGGTTATACCTTTGTCCAGTTCCCAGTCGCTAGCTAAATACGAAACCATCCTCCCTCCCTCCCACCTGGTTGCCAAATTGCAGGTGTTGGGTTTGCCTGCTGCTTCGCTGTGCACAACGAAATTGAAAACAGAGCAGAGCATCGCATACGCTGAAAGCGTTACTAGAGAAATGCTGCACAGCAGTCAAATGAACGTTCACACACACACACACACACACACACACACGCTAACCCACACACATATGCTGATGTGCCTGTGTGGAAGCACTTCATTCCCCCTGCATTTCTTGCTCTGCTTTCCACTGAGCTTGTGCGACCAGCCACTCATAATTGAGCGAAACGTCTTGAAGCTAGTGTTGTAAAAGGCCAGTGTTGTTCAACGCCATTTGAAGCGCATATTGTCATGACGGAAGCCAGTGTTGGAAGTTGTGTGAAGCAAAGCTGTCGCAAGCCATGAGGACTGCCCCACTCAAGGCCGTTGTATCGGCATTAGCCAACACTGTTTTCTAACAGGATAATCGACACGTGTGTGATGCAGCAGAAGTGAGCTAGAGTTAGGCGTAGAACTTAGGGATAGATTGACTCACTCAGTCGCCCTGTCGATATGTCTATCGAAAAGAGTTGAGCTTTCAGTATTATCGACAGGCCCATTCACAGGGCAATCGATGAGGTTTGGCTGTCTGACAACAGATTTAGATTTGCTCAGTGCTGAGAATCAATCGCCAGCGAAATGTCACGAACTGTGAAGAGAGAAAAAAAATTGAAAAAGCGTTTGCTTCGCCGAAAGCCTTCGAACGCTAATAAATATGTAAGTAGAGGCCACGATTGCCAGACACGCCCATACCCAATCTTGTTTCGCATTGAAGGATCTTTATATGCTGACTTGCACGGAGTGCTATCACGTCTTCCCTCCGCGCTACTTCCGCGGCCAGATCAGGGAGTTCCGCATGTGCGAGACTTGCAAGCAGAAGAATCCCGAGATATGCCAGTACTTGGACAAGTACATATATCACCCGGACCCCATCAACAACAGGAGCCCCGTGCAGAAGATAGTGCAGAAATGCGAGTTGCTCAAGCTCAAGCTTACGTTCTCCAAGCGACAGTATGACAACAAGCAGCCGACCACAACTTCGCTGGAGAACAAGGAGCAGGCCATACAACTCTTGCAGAGTCTGATCCTTAAGTTCGAGAACTTCGAAAGGGGCGTCATGCTAGCCAAGTCTCAACTAGGCGGCGAGCTCAACGACATGATGTAAGCGTCCACTGAATAGCCAGAATAAATCAATCGGTCGACGAACCTCGAGAAATATATAAAAAAAAAATAAATAAATAAAGCTGATTGAATTATGCAGATGAGAAATTCTGAGTTGCTGTCTCTATTTCAGTGAACTGCACATGGCTGAGCGCAGGTATTGCCCAACACTTGACGTGGCAGTGTTGAGCAGCGCCACACACAGCTATACCAAGCAGAAGACAATTGCTCGAAATATGATTGATTCACTGAAATTACTAAAATTGGCAAACTCAGCTAAGAGGTAGACTAATACAGGCAAGAGCTGTTGGCAATGCCTTACGGGAGAATAATGGAAGGAGAAAAGATGGTTGTCTTCAGCAGCGAGAGGAGACAAGAGAGAAGACTGAGACAGCAAACTGAAGTCTGAAAGGGCAACGAGCATTGGCAGTGCGTCAGACCCGACAGCAAGCGAGCTCTATAAAAAGGTATAAAGGCGTTTGGTCAGAGCCACGTTAGCTACAGCTGCATAAAAAGGTATTAAGCATTCGGCCATGCCCTGGGCACTCGCTTTGCATTCGAAGAAATTGAATTGCATTTGATGCCATTCAATACAACTTTTAAGCAACTCAATTATTAGCCATCCAATGCAGATGCAACTCAGGCCAACACACACGCCCCACACACGCACACACAGGCAGAGACACGAATGCGTAATGGCATTTAAACGTTGGATAGTTTTTATCTTATATTTCGATACACGCAGCAGCAAAAAAGAAGCAGCAAAAAATGCTTCCGACACAGCTGAACAGGGTAAAACGCCCCAACTCAAGAATTACGGAAATTAATTTTGAAGCATGTTCTCTTAACTTTAATGAGATTTACGTGTGCGTGGCTCTGCGTGTGTGTGCGTGTGTGTGTGAGTGTGTGGCTTTAGTGGGTTAAGCGGCTTATGATGTTGCTAAGTGACAAAAGAGCAAACTACCAAATGCCAAAAAGCATAATTAGTTGCATGCAACAGCAGCCGCCCAACCGCCCAGCCGCCCAGCCGCCCAGCCAGGCAGTGCGCTAGCCACGCCTAACGCCCCCTAGCGCTGGTCACTTAGTGATATATTATTTTTTTTTATCATTTTTTGTTTCGTGGCTTGCAACCCTGGCAATAAACTAAAACTATTCGAGTAGTAAATTGAAAACAAAGCAGGTCAAAAACCATAAAGTAAGCTCACTCCCTCTCTCTCCCTCCCGCCCTATCTCTCGCAGTGCCTCCCTCGCTCTCCCTCTGTCTGTCTATAGCTCCGGGCTCGCAGCAATTGTTTGAAAATCATTTTAAAGCGATTAAAATAAAACATGAAAATACTCAAATTAATATAGAAATGCATTTAAATACTTTGTAAATAAATTATTATGCTAAATTAAACAATAAAATGGCGTAGAAACTTTGATATTAAAAGGGAAAATTCGAAATAAATTCGTTGCAGTTGCGAGTTGGCCCTAGGGCGCAGCTATATGAATGTGGCAAGAGATTAAACTCTGTTTCAACTCAATATCAATATATATTTGATGTGATTTAATATGTGTGATATGGTTTGGCTTAGTAAAAGATATGCCCGACTAAAGGCCAGCTGCATGTGCTCTGATGCCATAGATGGATTGCTGAAACATAAACTTGATGTGTGATACGATGTGCGCTTGGCTCTATGGCAAAGACATGCGAAAGCCTTTGCCAGATAAACTTCAAAATTGAATTCGCAGAGCTCAGAGAGAGAGAGTGGGAGCGAGAGGGGGCGACTGGTGTGAAGTGCAAAGGAAAAGAAAGCGAGAAACAAAAAGTGAATTAGTGGGCAAACAACTGAAACTAAAAACTAAAACTAAAAACTCAGCAAGATTAATAGGAACACGTAAAATGTAATTATTTTCCTGTACTTGTGCTATTTGTTACTGCGCAACAAAAGGGCGCCAGCAGGGACAAGGACGAGGCGAGGACAGCTCAGCACACACACAGAGGGAGAGGGAGAGGGAGAGGGACAAAGACAGGCAGTCAGACGCGCTCGACTTGACAACTTGGAGCATTTTTCCCAGACACGTTGCTGAGACAGCAGTCAGGACTCCACACACACACACGCACACACACACACACACACACTTACACACATGCAGCACATGTCGCTGCTGGCGTTTAGTGTGCTTCTATGTGCCTCTCTCTCTGTGTAAGTTGTTTCGCCCGAAGTAGTTTTCTTGTGTAATTATAATTGCATAATTTATTTATAATATGATTTTCATGCTGTTTTCCCTCACACACACAGCTAGAGCTTGCTGAGAGCAATAGTTGAAGCTCGTGTTGGGACTAGAGCTATGCTATAAAGTGGGAGAGAGAGAGGGAGAGAGAGGGAGAGGGAGGCTGGCTGTGGCCGCACAGGCAGCGAAGCTCGTGCGCTTTACATTGGTTTAGTTTATGTTTTAGCAAATGCATTGGCAATGCCAATTGAGAGCAAATGGCCACAGTGCCCAATCAGGACGCAGGCACAGGATGCACAAGAGCCCCAGGCAGGCCCAAGCAGCCCCCGGCCAAGCTCAACTGCGCGCTGTTGCAAGGCCAAAAAGACAGGCAGCCAAAGTGCATTTGGGCGCAAGTGAATTGTTTGCCAAGAGAGCGAGACAAAAGTGTGCGAGAGAGAGGGAGAGAGGAAGAGAGGGAGGCAGCTCACGTTGCGAGACAACGTGCAAATGCTTCAAGTTCATTAAATTTGGGCATATAAATTTCACTTGGGCCGCAAACCGAAATCGGAGTCAAATGGCTCTGGAGGCATTTGCCAACATATACATCTACATCTACACACACACGCACACACCTACGCACATCCATAGTTAATAAAGGCAAGAATTTGTGCAGCTACAACTGAAGTCGAGCCCTGCACTGTTTGGTTTTAGTGAACGACACGTCGCTGGCATCAAAAGTTGCTACCACTCGCTGCTTGCCTCATGCAGCAATTTGTGCTGCCGGAACTCAAAAATAATCAAATTTATATGAGGCTTTGTGAATACCTTAAAAATTAAATGTAAATTCCATCGCATCAACACTGCAAACTTAATTGTTATATGACATATGAATAAATAAATTTTCAGCTATGAGATTTGCCTTCGATTGCAATTTCTCAATAATTCCCGAAATTCCCAATCAAAAATCAAAGCAATTTATTTTTTATTCAATACAGGTGATATACGTGACAAAGGAATTGCTGTAACTAAATATTATTATTAAAATATTAACAATTGCTCAGGCGAGCTTGGCTTGCAGATGATACGTCTGGCGTCTGGCCAAAGGTCATTTCGGCTGAAGTGAGGATAGCTTCACTCTGTCCCTACTCTGACCATGTGAAAGCAAATTTCATTAGTGGCAAAACAGTGTCTGCTTTAGATTTGATTTGCCAAAAGCTGAATGGCAAAGGCACTGCGCCTCTAACTCAAGTGTGGAGCTTAGACTCTCTCGAGTCTTATCTTCTGCACTTCATATCAACTGTGAATAGTCAGGAGGAGGCTTTGAGCTGACTCAGAATTTAATTAAAATTTAATATATTATGTCCAGCTTAATCGAATTTTACCACAGCTGGATGTTATCGATAACTGCTCAAATATAGTTATCGGCAATAGCACACATTTTGTGCTCAAGATACTTCAAGCAGAGCTGCGCTCAGCTCTGGCCAAGTTGGGGACAGCTGCATACAAATTGCAAAGAGGCAAAACGGCTTAAGGTACTTCATTGTTGCCCTGCAAATGGCCAAGCCAAAGGCCACTAAGTCGTGGCCACGTTTGAGTCTTCACTTTTAGTATAGCTGCATATGGATATATTTCCATGGCTAATAATTGTGCGCAGCAAGATACTATTTGCAAAGGCTGTTCGGGCGGCTTTAATTGCTGTTAATATGTGGTCAATCAGCGCATGGCACTCATACGCGCGCACAGCCTGGCCGCGGTCTAAAGTAGCCAGAGACTAGTCCAGGGGTGCGCGGCGCTGGCTGACAGTTTGCCCAGCCGCTGGCATTATTTGTTTGCATATGCATTGACGTATTTGCCGAGGCCAGCGGAGCGTGTGATTAAATTTAAAATATTTAAGCATATTTTACGCGTTGACTAAAAAACTGGCCATTGACCAAGTGGCGGCTGCCACGCCCCCTACACTCAGCCAGCCAGCCACCCCCAGCCACCCAGCAGTTGCCGCACAATGAAAATAATAACAATAAAAAATTAACTGCAAACGGGCAAAAAAATGGCGCGCAAATTAAAAAGAAAACCAAAGCGAAAAAGCAAAAAAAAAAGAGAGCGAAAAAAATGAAAATACACAAAAATGCAATGAAAATGCGCCATATAAAAATGTAAAAAATGCACGCAAAAAAAAAATAAAACAGAAAAGCAACAAAAAAACAAGCTTAAAAAAATTGGAAAATATAAGCGAAAAAAGAAGGGAAAAGCGTAAAAAATGTAAGCAAACGGCGCTGAAAATGCACAATTGTTTACGGCCACTGGATCGAAGGGGGGCGGCGTTGGCAGCGGGGCGTGGCAGCGGGACAGAGCGAGCGGCACGGCAGCACGGCGGGCGGCGGAGCTGAGTGCAGGGCAGGCTGATAGGCTGAATGGATATGCCCGCGGGCGCTTGTGTCTTGATGTGGGTGTGCTGCACGTGTGTGTGTGTGTGTGGCTGTGTGTGTGTGTGTGTGTGTGTGTGTGGCAAAGGCTTGCCTTGTTGTCTGCTAGGCATGTGGAAAATCAGCGCCAGCGAAGCGAGCGACGCTGCAAACAGACAGCGAGAAAGAGAGGCAAAAAGACAAAGGCGAGAAGAAAGAGAGAGCGAAGGGAAGGACAGAAAGAGAGGTAAGATACACACACACACACACGCACACAGAAAGAGAGCAGCAGCGCACACAATATGTTTCCAATGTAGCACATTTAATATTAACTTTTCGAATTTATTTTTATTTCCGCTTGGCGCAAATACATTTGCTGTGTGTGTGTGCGTGTGTGTGTGTGTGTGTGTGTGTGCCACATTCATTTCGCTTCATTTCTTGCTTTCTTGCAGGAAATTACAGCATGTAATTTGCATTCAGTTGTAAAGTGAAATGGAATAATTTCACGTTGATGCTGATGGGCGCTCCACAATTTCCCCCTCAACTCTGCCCCACCACCTGCCCCACTCACGCGGCAATCTCCTGCTCTACTTTTCTGTTCTGTGTGGTCGATATGTGCATGTGAATATCTCTCTCTCTGCATGTGTGTGTGTGTGTGTGTATTAATTTCTCAATCATTCAATCATGCATTCTCGCAGGCTTCTCGTTCCTCGTTCAGTTTTGAGTGTGTGAAAAAATTTGACATGCTTTTAACCAGCGACAACACAAGTGAGAGCCAGTGTGTGTGTGTGCGTGTGTGTGTGTGGCTGTGTGCAAAAACGCGGAAGTTGACACTTTCATGTCTAATGGAGAGGCTCGGGCAAAGCGGAAACAGCAGCCGCCATTCCGCAACGCCGTGCGACGGAGAGTCCTCAGCAACAGCAGCCGCCGCCGCCGCCGCCGTCGACAGCAGCTCAAAACTTAACTCCCATTACCACCTTCTCCCTCTCTCTCCCACTTTCCCACCTCTCCCACTGCCTTCGCAGCAGGCCCATGGCAGACCCAGCTCCAAGTCAATTGCTTTCTGTGGGTCGCACGGGAAAACAAATTTGAATAGCATTCACACTGGATATTTTCTTTACATTGCTTCTTTTATGTGCTTCGAAGCGAAGGAAATATTTAGTGGAATATATCGATACATATCGATTATAGTAAATAATGCAACAATTGTAAAGCTGCGCTGCAATGTTGATTCAGCGCGGTACAGGGCAAAGAGTTGACGATATATATCGATTTATCGATAGTTGCACGCACTCTCTTACGGTCTCTCTCTGACTCACTCTGTTTTTGTTTCTGTCTCGCTCATGTTGTCTTTCTCCATTTACATATCTCTTTTGTCTCTCTCTCACTCTCTGACACTTTATCTTTCTCTCACACTCTCCTCTTTATTATTATTAATTACAAATTGATGTCGATGACGATGAGCGAATGCCGCAACACTGGCCATAGGCAACGACATCAACAACAAAGACGAGAAAGTTTAGCTGAGCTGTAATCGATAACAGCTAAGCGATTGCATTTCTGATCACGTAAAGATCACGACCAGGCGCGGCGCATGCTTCTCACTCTGGGCACACAGCATACCCTGTTGCTGGCCATTGAATGTGTGCAGGGTATGGCCATAAAACAATAGCAACAAACGACGCAATGACCCAGCGTCGAATGTCCTGTTGCCAGTGCCCCAGGCTGGGCGCATGGGGGCGTTGGGATTGGGCAAAGAGGAAGGCAACTGGCAACTGGGAATGGGAATGGGAATGGGAAATGGGCGCAAGATCAAGACCAATTGCCGGAGTCAGCGTTACAGTTCCTGTTTGTGTTATTGTTGAGCTCAGCGCCGTATTTAATACGCCAACCCGCTGCACCTCATTAATTATTGACGGCAAAGGCAGCTGCAACAGCTCTGCCTTCGATATTGAAGCGAAGCTATGAGACAAATGCGACTGACTGCATATTTATTGTATGTACTGCATACTAAATAAAACTCTGATCTAAGGCACTTTTGGGATTTGGCATTCAAATTCACTCGAAGCTGAATAAATCAAAACAAATCTGTGCCATATGCTTTATAGACATCAAACTATATAGACATTCCAACTGAAATTTGTTTTTCTTATTTGGCTTTTCGCAAGAGTTTCCCAGCACTGGCTACAGGCTTTAAGCACTGCCGCCACGTTGATAATCGATATTAAGAAGTCGCTCAATCGCTAGCCAAGTGTCAGTTGCCAGTGAGTTGACTGAGGATTTTCTGCAGCGGACATTGCAATGGAGAATTTTGTAAGTCGAATGCTGACTAGACTTCTATATATTCACAGTATATCTTCGTATTAAGGAGCTGCACATGTCGGGTTGGGCTGCGTGCTACTATGCATTCTCGCCACGCTGCTTTTTTGACCAGATCCGGGTGTTTCGCATGTGTCAATTGTGCCAGGAAAACAATCCGGAGATGTGTCAATTGTTCGAGAAGTACGCATACGTGCGTCAGCGCAGGAGACACGGTCGTCGAGGTCAAAGGATTAAGGTTAGAATCGAGAATAACGAGCCCCAATATCGACATGAATCCGATGCAGCTTACATGGCCGAGGTTGAGGCCCGTTATGAGCAGATGCTGCTGAATGTGAAAAAAGTTGCAACTAGAGGAATCTAAGGGGCTTAACTTACATGTCTAGCCCAGCATGCAATAAATGAAGTTCTTTATGAACTCAACTCTGAACATAACTCCAAAGATTTGTTAAGCGGGCGCCAAAGGCAGCTTAGAGTTGTCTCAAAAGGAGCTGGCAGCACTCAGCACTGAGCTGGACTGAGCTGGACCCTTCTACACATAGCACAGCTTGCAGCTCTAGACATTCTACGACAGGGAAAGCTGTGGAGCTCCTACAGCTGATCCATGACTCAGGTACAGTTGTGTTCCATTTGACTAGTTGCTGTGTGTGTGAGTTTCAATTTGATGGAGATTCGTGTCGGTTTCACTGTGGTCATTGCCGCAAATGTTTTGCTTAACACCTTCACGTGATTCCGGCATTTATTAAATTGTTTTGTACTTTGTTGCCATTTCCGTTCTCGCTGCACGAGACCCCAAAACATGCGACGTGACAAGTGATGAAGCGGGCGGCAATGGGGCGCGGCTGGGGCGGCCAGGTGGTGTGTGGAGCTTGCACAATAATGAGGCATATTTACAAATGCATTGCGCTGCCAACGCCCTACCGGCCCCGCCTTCCGACCTGACCTGAGCTCTATCTCTCGGCGGCGACTCCTCCGGCGGGTGGCAAATTTGTATTTTAAATTATGCGCATCTCTTAACGGGGCCAGGTCGACGGGCTGTGGGGTGTTGGGCAATGGGCGAGGGGTGCGGCTGCTTGGCTGCTTGGCAGCTTGTTGTTGCCCACAGGGACCACGTCCTGGGAGACATCCAGCGGCGCGTTTTAAAATGCGACGCATGACTTTCATTTCACGTTTGTTTACTTCGCATGCGGCCGCGTGATTTTGCGAGAGCGACGCGGGCGGGGCGGCAGTCAGGCAGTTGGCTGTGTGTGTAGCAGGCGACGCGCTGGGCGCGGGACGGGGCGGGGGCGCTTGGGGTTACAGGTCGCGGCACGACGCGGCACGTGTCAACAGTTGGAAATGGGTTTTTAAGGCGCCGCAACGTATGCTACAGTTTCTTGGCTTCAACTTTTGTTTCAATTACCGTTACCTGTTACCCAGCCAGCCCCACCCCCTGCGCTACACGCCGCACCGCATTCGCTCTCGCGACCCGCAGGCAGCGCATTTTTATGACTCGAAAGCGTGTTCATAATGCGAGCTACTTAGTACGTGTCCAGTGTTGCACAACGCGCACAGCCAGTGTGGCCATGCTGCCACTTTTCAACAATGTGGCAACACTCGCTGCTGGCTTGGCTCTGATTTCAGCTAGTTTGATTGAGTCAGCCAACGGCCAACAATAGACTCTCTTCTCTTACTGCTGCTCTTTGTGTATTCTCTTTTCTCTAATCTCTTTTTGCTTGAAGAACTGAAGCCGCCCTCCAGCAGATGAGCATCAAATTGAAAGCAGATTAGAAGCATTCAATGAAGGACTTCCTTTACCTGTAGTCCCAGGCACTAAGACTATGCTCTCCCAGAAGCAGAAGCCTTTCGACACATTCAAGTTTACCTAGTTGCTGTACAAATAACAGAGCCTTGGCTTAAGCACTTGTAATATAGCCCATAAGTTAGATTTAACCCAACACGCAGACAGAGAGGGAGAGGCAGGGAGAGAGATCTGAGACTAATGAAATGGGAACTGTGAAAACAAACAAGGTCTCGCCTACAAGCAGACAATTAATGCAGCTTGTGTCTCAGTGCGTATCAATAATAATTGCAATAGTTAAATGTTGAATGTTGAATGCTGAATGAATGAGTGAGGCGAGGCGAGGCGAGGGTGGGGGAGGGGGCCCAATGAATAAATCAAAGTTGTTGCCACAACTAAGTGCACTCCGAGTGCCATTAATAATGCCCGCTGGCCATTGGCATTTCGGCAGCGGCAGCGGCAGCGGCAGCGGCAGGCAATCGGGGTCAGTGCATAACCCGGTTACACTCTTCATGAGTGCACGTCTGTGTGTGGCCGAGTCGAGCTACGGCCAGTACCCCTAGCTGTCTGCATATGCATATTGCATGGGGCCTAATGCCGAGCGATTAAAGCCAAGTTAGCCAAAGCTCTCATGTGCTCGTGTCATGCATTTTTCAAAGGCAACGCTTGTGTCCAGGACACCAACATTAATATTAAACAATAAATACTAACAAGTAGCTAAGCAAGCAGCAGCGAGACAGAGAGAGAGAGGGGAAGAGAGAGAGAGAGATGGAGATATGGGACTTTAGGTTCCCAAAGTGCTCGCTGGCATAAATGCATCGTCAATTAATGTAAATTAAAGGGAAAACCAAATTCCATTTCCGTTTTAACAAGACACTTAATTACATAAGTGAATGGACACACTCACACACAGCATATTTGGGGTGTGTGTGCGGGTGTGTGCGTGTGCGTGGGGCCTTTCTGTTTGCTAGCAACTATGTTTAGAATTTACTTAACAAGATGACGACAAGAAGTGCCCGAGTTATAGACCATTACAGACAATATAGACACATGCAGTTGGCATTCATGCATATTACTCATACGCCATGTGGCACACACGCACACAGAGCACTTAACCAGGCGCTCAGACATTTTAGTTGCGGCCCTCGCTTGGGCTGCTGTCTCGACTGCAGTTTTAGCCTCAGCTTCAGCATCAGCATCAGTTTGGGCTCCGGCTTTGTCAGGTATTTGCATTTGCATTTCACATTTGCGAGTTTGTAATTAAGTTTCAAGTGCAATTCGAGTTTATCGGCATCAGCCATTCCATATCTCTGCACTGCTCATCCCTCTCCTCGCCTCTCCTCTCCTATCTCGACAGCTGTGTGTGCTTGTAATCCTGCCAATTTGACTAACTCAACTTGTGATACTCCAAAGCCCCTGTGGGGTATAACATCTAATCTAAGCTCTACTCATGGAAGCCATAGCGCATATTGATATAAGAGAGTTTCGGCACTAGAGAATATGTTAAATCGATAAAATAACTAAGAGTTAAGAGCACAAACTCAACTAATGGGTATGTGCTAGTCGAGCATGACTGCCAGTTGCTGCCGACCAAACAGCTGCAGCAATTCACTGCCAAAGTCGAACCTTCAAACGCACTTTATTGTTGAATACTATTTGATATTTGCCACAAAATAGTTGTTTCTTGTTTTAGCTAATTGTTGTTGTTGTTGCTGTTGTTGTGCTTGATTATCTGGGGCATACGAGTGGCTGCAAATGAAATTGATCACATCAGAGCCGCTAGCCAAGTGCCAATAGTCGAAATATGTAAATTAGTTGATAATTTTGCATCTGCAAATCGACCATAAAAACACCAAAATATCAAAATTCGAGTGCAAAACATATTCAACATGAATCTAAATCGATGCGGCTTAAGGTTGGATGGGCGTAATCCAAACTACTTTCAATACTGTGGCTATTTGAGTCGTGAATAACATAAGCAAAGACTAAGAGACGTAGAGCCACTGATAAAATGGCACAGACCAAGATCCAGAAAAAATAGGCAACGGCAAGCTTAGGTGAGCTTTGTCGCAGCCAACTAATCTTGTCTAGCTTATCAAATAAAGGCTGAGGAAGCTCTTTACACTGACTACTACCTGTGCTACTTGATGTATATCGGAATTAGTATTTAAAGACAGCTATCTTGGTCGAGTCTTGAGAGGACTAATACAGCGCTGGCTAAGACTTCTAGAGTTCTGATACTTCCAGTTCCAGCTTCCAAAAACTCATTTGTTTTGGGTTATATATTGAAATCAGTTAGACAAATATAATACTTAAGCTATCAATATCTTCATACTATTATATCAAAACAGATGAAAAAGTGAATCAGAACCTTAAAGCGATTTTGGTTTTTCTTTGGAAAGTTTTAAGAATTTTTTTATAGAATTTTATAAAAAAAATAGTATCCCTCCGTAGCAGCGAGCATTTCCCATTTTTAAGCTAAAATACAGATTCCGTATGGAAATATTTTCTTATCATTTAAGGCTGGTGCGACTCTGAAAGAATTTCACATATGGAAACTTTTGTCGTTTAGTTAATTTAAGCGACTTCTTCACTTGGTTTTCAAATATTGCCACAAAGAAAACCTTATGGAGCCAGCGCATATTTCAGTTTCATTCGATAAATTACGTGACTTTTTGTTTCGCACACATAAAAATCAAAAATGTTGCATTAATAATTATTAAAGAACAATTATGATTTATTGTTATTATTCAGGCGGTGCGAGCTGTGAGAATTTATGGATAGCCATTAACATCTCTCGCATGCAAAGCGACCGACAGCCACTGCATAGCTAACTCTTTCAGTTTTCAGTCTTTGTGGGCGTGGCTACGCCCCATGCAATTTGTAGCACAGTCACAAACCCGAACAAGCGTGTTTATAGCAAACGTTTTATGGCTGGGCCACCAAAGAGAGTGAGCCGTGACAGAGCGAGAGAGATGAGACAGAGAGAGAGAGAGCTTGAAATCCATTCCGAATACTCAGAAAACTTAAATTGATTGTGCAGCAGCTGCTAATTGATCGTATGTCTTTAAAATGATAAGAGCAGGAATGATGAATATGAATCAAATAACTAAAATAATTAACCAAAAAATGACAAATATTAAGAAAAATAGAATCACCAAGATTCGAGCCAACATTGCCTACACAATGCGCATCAACTCTACCAAATAAATAAATAATTCTTGAAGGGCATTAGATGTAGGTATAAATATATATTGTATAAAGGCTCTAAATATTATATTATATAATTTATATTTAGAAATATTAATATTATTATTTATATATTATTATATTAATATTTATTTTCTTTATTATGTTGTATTGTATTGTATTGTATTGTATTTGTCTGTCTTTTGTATCATGTGAAATGAGTAAAAAAAAAATAGAAATTGTGCTCAACAGCAGAAAGAAAGAACACATTTGATTCACATACATATGAAGTATATCTATAGAGAATGACAAGTTGCGTGCCTATAGCTAGCTCGGTCCGTTCGCCTTTTCTTCTGCTTCCAACTTTATGCAAGATGAGTGGAAATTCTCACTCACAATGGGCTGAGCCCATTGCGTTTTGAGTGACTTTTGGGTATAAAAGGGCGCAGCAGCGGCTGTGAACGAT